AAGGAGAAAGAACCAGAGTCGCTCCAAGCACTTCACACACAATTCCCAGCAGCCAGCACACAAACACTCTGGCACATTAATTGTTTATAAGTAACTCAGAAAACATCTCCTGTGGAGTACGATTATGGCGGCCAGTCCAAATAGTCCAAGAGATATCAGGCAAAGCGCAAATAGCAACCACCAATGAGCCGATTCTGTAAATAAAAGAAGAGATGAATTGACGTTAAGGACGCTGACACCAATTCAAAGATTCGCTTTCATCACCTTTAGCCCTGAAACAAACTGAAAAAGGCAGCAATGCATTGAGGTAGTCACATTCCTTTACTTAAACCAGTAACACAGCTCACTTTAAGTTAATTCCGTTCGGATAATGGTATGATGCACACTTTATACCCGGTTTACCGGACTCCGAGTATCCGGCAACAATACCGAGCCAGGCCAGGCCTGAAACTGAAATTTGTAAAACATATTTCCGCGGGCTGCTGTAGACAGCTGGCAGCCCACCTCACCGTCCTTACTGGCCTCCCGTGGCCAAGTGGATTGACTCAGTCTGAATCCCGCAAACAGAAGGGAACTTATTCCTTAAGAATCCAATCCTTTGCAGAATCCAAACAGTTATAATGTTAAAATTAAATCTAGCCAGAAATTCTTTCTAGCTGGACTGGATCCTCAGCAACCACTCATCCCCCCCACCCTACAACCCCCCCCCCCCCATCCCACACACATTTGTCTGGCTAGACAGGGTTTAGTGCACTCGTATTTGATGTAACACATTATCCCGTCTGAAGGCATCAAAATGTTGCCGACAACATAGAGTGATACGACACTGAAACAGGCCATTTGGACTAACCCAATTAGTCCATGCCAGTGTTTATACTCCACACAAGGCCTCACCTCTCCTATTCCCCTCTATTCCTTTCCGCCTCAAGTATGCATCAAGTTCTCTTAAATACATTTTTGTTTTTTGCTTCAAACACAGCTTCCAGCAGAGAGCACCACATTATCAGCAAACTGTGTGAAGAAGTTCCCCCTAAATTCCTTATCCTAAGAGTTACTTCGAAGCGTAATAATAATCGATGCGCTTTGTGGTAGAGCCTTATCACATTGTCAAGATGACTCAAATGATATACAGTAAAGTGTGGCTGTGTATATTTTGTGGACAACAAAACACAGAAAGTGGTAATGCTCTTACACTCAGTAATGCTGAGTTGTCGCTCAGGAATTCTTGGTTCTTGGCTATTCGTCTAAATAGGAGCCAATCTTTTGTTTGTCACCAAGGAAAGAGGGAAAGTAGGGTAAATGGTGTTTCTTTGAGCTGCTCCAAGGGGTGACGTGCCTGGCAGTGAAATAACGGAAAATTGAGTTGTTTTTCTGTGATAGTCTCAGTCATCTGCTTCCTGAGCTGGACAGGACTGTAGTACTCCAAGGTACTGTTGTTGACAGACTAGCAGGCCAGCCTGGCTCATTGGCAGGGTGTTAAGGAGCAGCCCAGTCATTAGGAGCAGAGATTCTTCCACTCAGCTCCTATTAATCCTGTAAGCCAAAGCACTAATGGGTAGGATGATCCTACCTGGATAAGCTGCAGTGCTAGCTCACCAAGCAGTGATTGAAAATGACATAGTTTCACAATTTTACAACAACAACAAATTACACTTGTACAGCGCCTTTCACATCAGAAAGACAGCCCGGGGCGCTGGACAGTCATGAGTTTTTGGATCCGAGCTGGGAGTTGGGGTCGGGAGGGGTGAAGGGTGAAGACAGGGAGGAGGGTGGTCGAAGGCACGGTCGAAGAGGAAGGTCTTTAGACGGTATTTTTAGACGGGTGAGGAGGAGGAATTGCGGGATAGATTTCCAGAGTGTGGGGGAGGCTGATATGGGGTGAGGAGGTTGGAGAGGTGAGGTGGAGCAAGACAGTGGAGGTTTTGTAATCAATTCTCTGAGGGATGGGGAGTCAGTGAAGCTGGGCCTGAAAAGGGGTGATTGGTTCATGAAGCAGGAAAGCACACGAGCTGCAGAATTTTTAATAATCTGCATTTACAGAGCGCTCCTCACACAGGATAGCGTCCCAGAGCGCTTGACAGTGGCGGAGCACGACACCAAAGCGGGTGGAGATGACCATAGGCACAGTCTTCAGGCATAACTAAAGATGGGGAAGGAAGGAACAAGGCGGAGGGATAGAGAAAGAGTATTCCAGGGTTTTGGGACGTATTGGCTGAAAGTGCAGCCACCGATGGTGGAACGGAGGGTATGAGGGACATGCAGGAATTTAACAAACACAGGACAGCAAGATTGAGTCCAGGGAGCTCAAGACATTATTCAATACCTCCACTGTCCATCGCAGGGTGCGTGACTAGACATCTCTTTTCCGAGGGATCAGAATTTTTTTTGTCAGAAGAAAATATTTTGATGGTGACACAGTAATTTGTGCTGGCTTCTACATCTTCAACCTTTTCTGATACACTCTGTTCATCCGTTGAGCCTTGCAGATCTCTGTACTGATAGAGAAGAAAATAGAAGTGATGTAATTTTTATATAATTAGTGAAATTGGAAGGTTGATATCTGGAATGCCCTTGCTAGCCTCCCTGGATTAGTATCATATTAATAATAATCCCTCCAAAAAACCAAAAAAAAACAATAATTAAATTGGTCATTTTCAATCTACGACTGTTTGTGGGACATTGCTGTGCGCAATTGGCTGCCGCGTTCGCCCACAAATATACAGTCAATTCACTTTACAGTGTGTTCTGTGAAGCGCTTTGGGACGTCCTCCTGACGTGAAAAGCGCTATATCAAATGCAAGGATTATTATTATTATTATTATTATTATTATTATTATTATTATTATTATTATTATTATTATTATTATTATTATTATTATTATCTGTGACCTCCTTCACCAGAAGCTAGTCAATGCCTCTTCTAATAATAATCCTTTGATTCTCGGCCAGGGCAAACCTTAAGCAAGTTTCCTTACTCCACACGCCTCTATGTGGAGTAAGTAGGAACCTGGTTGTTAGTTGAGTGGCGGATCAGGGGTAATAATCCCTCCTCCCCCTGCCCCAAAAATGTGGTCACTCAATCCATGACTGTTTGTGGGACAATACTATGCGCAATTGGCTGCCGGGTTTTCGCCAACAAAATGTGAACAGTCAATTCACTTTCCAATATATTCTGTGAAGCGTTTTGAGACGTCTCAACGACCTGATAAGGTGCGATGTCAAATGCAAGGATTAGTATACATTCATCACAAACAAAAATATGAAAGAACTTGCACAATGACGGGAGCGGACACTGAGCAAGGGGGTAAATCGAACCTAACAGTCGATCGGCAGATCTGGCTGGACCTTATCAAATTCTACCGCTCTGCCCTCGCCTCCACTAAATAGTCATTCCACTCCAAGACAATCTTGGAGACAAGGACAACCCCAGGCTCCTTTTCTCCACCACCAATCGACTCCTCCGCCCACCCTTTCATGCCTCGCCCATCCTCACCTCCAATGCCAACTGCAAGGTGATGCTGGACTTTCTCAGCTACCTCTGCCCTTCCGTCTCTTACCCCATTCCCATCTCTCCCTCTCACCCCCGGCCCTCACCCATCCCTCCCTCTACAGCTTCGAACCTGTCGCTCACTCCTCTCTCACTATAACCCGCATGAAACTGACCACCTGCTCCACCTCCTTGCCCCTCTACTCCCAGATATCATAAACCTCTCCCTGTCCACTGGTACTATTCCCACCCCTTTACAGATGACTGTCAATATTCCTATCCTTAAAAAAACCCTCCCTGGACCCATTTGTGCTCTCAAACTATCACCTCATCTCCCACCTCCCTTTCCTCTCCAAGGTCCTGGAATGAGTCATTGCTTCCCAGCTTCACTCCTTCCTCTCCCGCCAGTCCCTTCTCAAACCACTCCAATTGGGTTTTCATGCCACCCACAGCACAGAAACAGCCCTGGTCCAAGTGACAAATAACATTCTGGCCATCTTCGACCAGGGCTCCCTCTGCCTCTGTGTCTTCCTTGACTTCTCTACTGCCTTGGACATTGACCACTCTATCCTCATCCACCGCCTCGCCTCTCACCTCAACCTTCATTGTTCTATCCTTGAATGGTTCAGATCGTACCTCTCACACTGCCTAACTGGTAAAGTTACCATGCCAGTCTGGAATCTTGGTGTTTGACCCTCAACTGTCCTTTCTACCACACATCCGTGCCATGACCCGCTCTGCCTTCTCCCACCTACGTAACATCCTGCAATCCCTCTGCCTCGCCCCCTACTTTGCCTTCTTCAAGATCCATCTCAAGACCCTCCTCTTCAACTGTATTTTTGATCACCCTGCTTCCCCTCCTGCCCTCCATCATCCCCGACCCCCAACTCGGATCCGAAACACTGACTGTCCAGTGCCTTGGGATGTCCTCCTGACATGAAAGACGCTATACAAATGTAATTTTGTTGTTGTTCTAAAATTGTCCTCATCTAAAATCCTGACTCATTGATTGCTGTTTTGCTCCAATCTTAATTTTAAAATAGCCATCAGCTCTTTTAACCTCCATTCCGCCATCGGTAGCTGCACTTTAACCCACTACCCTCCAAAACTCAGCAATACTCTTCTGCTATCCCTCCCACCCGGCTCAGCGTCGTGCTCCGCCTCTGTCAAGCGCTCTGGGACCCTACCCTGCATGAGAAGCGCTATGTAAGTTGTTGTTAACCTTGTTGTGGGACATTAGTGTGGGCAAACTGGCTGCCAAGTTCGCCCACAAAATACCCAGTGACTCCATTTTACAGCACATTCTATGAAACGCTTTAAGATGTCCTCCTGACGCTATATCAAGGATTATTATTGTTGTTTACCTTTTCTACCTTTCCATCTTTTGCTATGGTAATATAATAATTCAATTTCCCAAAGATATCGATTAAAGAGTCAATTCCTTCATTTTTTATAATGGGAGGTAGTTCAGCAAAGTCAAATCGAATCTGAAGATTTCCGTTGCGATCTACAAGATGAGCATTGGCTGCACGTAGTTTTGCTGTGGAAGAAAATTAAAGCCATTAGTTGCAATATTGGAGTAATAATACCTTGCATTTTATATTCTGTAGGGCCTTTCACGTCAGGAGAACTTCTCAAAGTGTTTTACAGAATTACTGTAAATAATAATACTTGCATTTGATATGGTGCCTTATCACGTTGCAAATACTGTAAAGGCTATTTTAAGTGGATATTTTGTAGGCAAAACCCAGCCAATTGTGCATAGCAGGTGTAGTGACTGCACATTTTCTACCCTATCCAAGCTAAGCGATAGAGAGTTGTGTGCCCCATGGAAATACAACGCAAATGTGAAATGGACAGAAGAATAAAATAATTAATATTTCTTTGGAATATGTTTTTATTCCCCCCCCCAATATTTCTTAAATATGCTGTTCATAAATGGCCATACACATGAATCTGGTTTGGATACTCTTAAATATAGTGATGGGTTTCTGTATATAAGTGAGACACCCAACTGACCAAACAAGAGAATCTGCACTTGAAAGGTTACAAGAAATAAAGTGGGATTAATTTTGGATATCTCTTTCAAGAACCAGCACGGGCACGATGGGCCAAATAATATTCTATGATTCTAGTCCATCTAGGTGAACAAAGGTGAAAAAGATTTGTTGGAAGTGTATGAGCCGCGATGCCTAGCTTGTTAGCATGACAATAATAATCCTTGCATTTGATATAGCGCCTTATCCCAGCGTGGGCAAGGCGGAGCTACAGAGGAAGAGTGTGAGCATTGGCAGGACATTCCACCTCAGAGAGCATCAGCCAAGCCTGAAGCTAGCTGCCACATACACTCACACACACGCACACACACACACAGGACCAGAAGAGAGGGTTCTTTAAAGGGTTCAAACAGGAAACTCAATTCAAACATGTTTTGCCCTTGTTAACCCTAGGAAGGCTGGGAAGCCATATTAGCTTCAACATACAGCCCTGGCAAGACCAGTAAACTCACCATGGACATGGATTCAAACCAGTGAGCTCCTGATCCATAAGCTGGATCCACTACCCATTAAACAGGCATCCACCTCCTTCAGGGAGGGGGGGTGAGGGGGTGGGGGAAGGTAAGTGGGGTCTCCTTGGGGCTGATCTGGCTCTAAGGTGACATGTTTGGAAACAGAATGTTGGAACCCAGCCCTCTGCACCGGTCTCTAGTCTGGTTCCTGAGCCAGTTGGGTCCACAGTATTCCAGGGCACTCACTGCTGATGGCAGCACAGCCCAGCCTGGCTCATAGGCAGGATCTGGAAGGGTCGACCAGTCACTGGGGGCATGGAATCCTCCTACTCAGCTCCTGATAACCCTGCAGCCAAAGTGGATGGGTATATAGAGGTAATTATGATCTCCCTGTGTTTGAGCTGGCTGTTGGAAAAATCCTTGGCAAAACTAGACAGGTCGCTCCTTGTCTAGTTTTGTTGGAATGGAATACGCACTCTCTCTCTATGGAAGGATGCATCCTCCTCACCTAATTCCAGAAAGTAGACAGGTCGCTCTCTGCAAAGCCAAAGCCCTAATGGCTTAGGGTGATCCTAGCTGAATAAGCAGCAGGAAATCTTGGCAAGACAGTGATATCAATGGCAAGGTATACGGTTTTAGCTGGTGAGACTCCAGCAGTTACCCTAACGCACACTCTGGGCTCCCCACAAGTCTTCGCTCTTGCCAACCTGTGCCTAATACTTTCTGGAATTAGGTGAGAAGGACGAGTCCTTCCAGGGGGAGAGAGAGAGAGGGGGGGAGAGAGAGAGAGAGCGTATTCCATTCCAACAATCTAGCTCTGGGATTCCCATGTGTAGGTGGGATGCATGAAACTCTCAGTTAGGTTTGGATACTCTTAAGCAACAGTGATGCGTTTACACATGTGGCTGACCCCAAAAACATGATCAGGTGTCAATAGATAGAAGGAAGGGGCAAGGCGGAGGGATAGAGGAATAGGGTTCCAGAGTTTCAGGGCGTGGTGAAAGTGTGGCCACCGATGGTAAAGATAAAGAATAAAAGCTCACTATCCCTGCATGGTTGGAATTCATCCGTCGAAATCCACTTGGAGTCCTCAGCCTCTGTAACCGCTTTAACTCGAATGCAATAAGTATTCAAAATCGCTGGAAATATTTCTGTTAAATCACACATTTGTTGTGGGGTATGAGAGCAGTGGTGTACTGGTTGCCATTCGTTTCCATTGCTGCTTGGATTGAAAATATAATATTTGTAAAAAAAAGCATCAAAACTCATCCACGTTTGAAATCAGATCTATGAACAACAATAACTTGTATTCTATGGCGCCTTTCACTCAGGATAGCGCCTGGGAGCGCTACACGGTGGTGGGGTCAGATGCCAAATAGGGGAGAAGGGGGAGGAGGAGGTGATTGTAATAATAATTATAAATAATAATGTTCTAAATGTTTAGGGGTCCACACAGGTAAATCTTTAAAGGTGGCAGAACAGATAGATGAAGCTATTAAAAAAGCATACGGAATACTAGGCTTTATAAATAGGGGCATAGAATACAAACGTCAGGAAGTTATGATGAACCTTTATAAAACACTGGTTAGACCTCAGCTGTTTCCACTGGTGGGAGGGTGGGTCGGGAACCAGAGGACAACAGATTTAAAATAGTGGCCAAAAGAACCAGAGGGTAGAGCATGTGAGGAGAAATGTCTTCATACAGCAGGTTGTTTGGATCTGGAATGCATTGCCTGAAAGGGTGGAAGAAAATTCAACAACAACTTTCAAGAGAGAAATGGATAGATATTTGGGAAGGACAAATTTGCAGGGCTATGGGGAGAGTGGGGGAGTGGGATTGATTTGGGCAGCTCTTTCAAAGAGCCATCAGGGACACAATCTTGTGGGCAGGCAATTGCACACAGCTGTGCCCCACAAGCCGTTGTGGATTGAGTGACCAAAAGTTTTTTGGGCGGTGTGCTGCAGGACTCCTCCACTGTAGAACCAGTGGTAGAGGTCTTCAGGTGGGATTTAAAGATAGATAAGATAGATAGAGGGGTTGAGACAGGGAATTCCAGGGATTAGAAATGTAATGGATGAAACCAGCGGCTGCCCATTCCATCCCAAACACAGGGAAATTTCCATGTGACCAACACACGTGTTTTCAAAATGAGATATGTTGAGAGAACCTGGGTCAAATTCTTAGGCAGGGCAAAACTTTAGGGAAACTTCCTAACTCCACACACTTCTATTTACCCAGCTATTTGTTGTTTGGCAGATTTCTTTCTGGGGGTAACAATCCCTTCAAAATAAATAAAAATAATAATTTGGTCACTCAATCCACGGCTGTTTCTGGGCTACTGCTGTGCACAATTGGCTGCTGCGTTTCGCCCACAAAATACACAATCAATTCACTTTACAGTATATTCTTTGAGACATCTCTAAGACATGATAAGGTGCTATATCATATGGAAAGATTATTATTTATTACTATGTGACACACACATATATATGGACCCCTCAGTCAGGTTTGAGGGATTTTTTCAAAACTTTAAAACAATATTTTTTATTTTTCAAAACTGAAGGGATTAAGGGATATGGGGATATAGCAGGTAAATGGAATTAGGTTAGAAGATCAGCCATGATCTGATTAAACGGCGGGGCAGGATCGAGGGGCCAAACGGCCTACTCCTGCTCCTATTTCTTATGTTCTTACGTTTGGAACATCTTAAGCATGATGATAGGTTTCTGTATGGGACAGACACAAGGCTGACCAAAACAAAATAAATTCTGATACAGAAATAGCCTTGCAAAATGGGGACAAAAATTATAGAAAACATACTTAAAAGATATATATTCCACTGTGTAGTTTGTAGCAACTGAACCAGGGTCCCCGGCTTCCCACTTCAGAGCATGCTGAAAGTTTTCAGACACAAATGACACATTGCAAGGTGGCGGCAGGTCAGCTGTCCCTGAAAGTAGAACGTCTATATTAACCGTTGGCACAAATATCAGATAGCATTTTATGTACTCGCGAGTAAGCTACGCAAAAGCACTTTTCAATGTCCTCCCTTTCTTTATTAACTTGACAGTAAGAGATATAAAGTCAAAATGGACTGTGTTTTGCATGTTGTTTTGGTCAGCCGGGTGTCTGACACATGTTTAAGAGGATTCCATCCATGCCATCTACACGTAGAAATACGTTATGTCTTGGAGAAGGATATAGAGGGGCTCTATTGAGCTTTGCACTTGCTCTGGGAATCCATAAGGAGTTACTGGCATATTAAGATGTGGTTGAGTCAGTAACACTCTTGCCTCTGAGTCAGAAGATTGTGGGTACAAGTTCCAGTTCGGGACACAGTTCAGGCTGACTCTCGAATACAGCTCTGCATTGTTGAAGGTGCCATTATTCAGATGGGACATTAAACCAATTCAATGAACATCATTGAATTGTTTTAATTCATTTAATCCCATCTGCCTTTTTGGATGGCCATGGCAGGAGTTTTTCTATCCCGGGACCTGACCCCAAATAAAATTTGTCATTCACTTTGTGGCTGTTTGTGGGACATTGCTGGGTACAAACTGGCCATTGTGTTTGCCTACAAAATACACAGTCACTACACTTTACAGTGAATCCTGTGAAGCGCTTTCAGACATCCTCCCAATATATAAGGCACAGTATCAAATGCAAGGATTGGTATTATTATTTTACAAGCAGGTAAGCATTATTTACTTACCAGAGCTGAAAAGCTGCTGAACATACAAAAGACAAAGAACATCAAACATTCTACTAGCAATGAACAGAACAGTTTTCATGCTCCTGTCTCTCCTTTTTCCACTCTGAAACAAAATAGAAACTTTATTTGTAACGTCATTTGGTGACATGGTTTAAATATACTATATTGTCGTTTTCAAACTTCTTCTCAGTCTTGCAACAAAGAAAAACAAGGCAACTAAAAACCAACTAGAGGAAATAAAAGCATTGAGCAACCAGGAGGGAAATCATTGACTGTCAGTATTTTCATTGAATTCAGGCCACCTTTTCCTTACGGACACATGTGGAAACCCATCACCATTGCTTAAGAGTCTCCAAACCAAACTCAGAATTCCATGCATCCCATCTGCACATGGAAAATCCCAGAGACACATTGTAGGAATGGAATGTGCACTCTCTCTTTCTCTCTCTCACCCTCTCTCACTCTCTCCCTGCATCCTGCTTAGCTAATTCAAAAAAGTACTAGGCACAGGTTGGCAAGAACCAAGGCTTGGGGGGAGCCCAGAGTGTGCATTGGGGTAACTGCTGGAGTCTAACCAGTTAAAACCTCATAGCTTGCCAATGATATTGTTATCTGGCAGACTTTCCCACGGCTTCTCCAGCTAGGACCACCTACATGTTAGGGCTTTGGCTTGCTTTGAATGTTGAGATGTCGAGCAGTAGAAATCAGCCAGTTTCATCAACAGCGAAGAGAGGCTTCACTAGAGTTCCACACCAACCTCAACACGTTTTCCACTCAAAACACATTCACCATTTCGTTCCTTACCTCGATCATCCAAATCTTAAAGCCGGCTGCAATTTTCTCCTTTAACGTGAAAAAAATCTTCTCTTAAAGATGTGTTATTGAGACACCAAAAGTATTTAAGAGAGCTGCTTAGTGAGCAGATTCGCTGAACTGTTAAACTGCACCGACACAAATTGATTTCTTGATTAAACCACAAGATGTTTTTTGATGTGTGGTCACAAGTACAAATTATTTTGAGATTGCATCTCACCGTTACTTTACAGGCTTGAATCAGCACAAAAAAGTGCCCCACAAACAGTCGTGGATTGAGTGACCAATTTTTTTTGGAAGGAATTATTACCCCCGGAAAAGTGATGCGCCAATTGACTAACAACCGGGTTCCTACATACTGCTAGGTAAACAGGCGTGTGGAGTAAAGAAACTTGCGCAATGTTTCGCCCTGCTGGGAATCGAACCCAGGTGCCTCGCTTACGAGATGAGTGCACTAACCACTACACTACAGGAATCCACTCCACAGCACTATATCAAATGCAAGGATTATTATTATAATAGTAGCTGTTCTGTCATCAGCAGTGACCTGGAGTACTGCAGACATGCCTGGCTCAGGAATTGGACAACCACTGGATTTATTCAATTCCGACAATCAATTCCGCCAAACATGTTACTCCTGTTTACTTCCCCCACCAAGGAGTAGAGTCATTAGTTGGTCATTTGCCATCCAACTAGCACATGTTTAAGCCCTCAGCCACCCATAAAGAACACACAGGACAGGAAAGCAGCTATGTATTGTACAGAGTTTTACCAGAACATCTTTTTGTGAGTGAACCACATCAACCCACATTCAAAGAACCTTTGACACAGCAATGACAGTCTCAAAGTATTGACTTCCCTCAAACACATTTGAAGTTCCACTTATTTGTACACGTAGCTCAGTGGTTTGAGTACTCGCCTCGCAAGTGAGAGACCTGGGTTCAATTCCTGGCAGGGCGAAACTTTGAGCAAGTTTCCTTACTCCGCACACACGCCTCTGTTTATCTATCAGTAAGTAGGAACCCGGTTTGTTAGTCAGTTGGCGGAATGTTTTTCCAGAGGTAATAATTCCTTCAAAAACAATAATAATAAATTGGTCACTTCAATCCACAACTGTCTGCTGTGCCTAATTGGCTGCCACTTTTCACCCACAAAATACACAGTCAATTCACTTGAATTCACTGTGAAGTCCTTTGACACTTTTGCAGACGTGAAGCATTATATCAAATGCAAGGATTCATTACGCAAATGAACTGTCGCACAAATATGTGCACTTTGAGGTCACATTTCCTCTGTACATTCTGCTAAAGAACAGCAATTCCTTCAATCTCTGCTAGAACGATTAACAAAGACCGTTTCCTGTGAAAGGAAATTAATTTAAAGGTGGAAATAATAATAATAATCCTTGGATTTGATATAGCGCTTTTCACGTCGGAAGGACGTCCCAAAGTGCTTCACAGAACACACTGTAAAGTGAATTGACTGTATATTTGTGGGCGAACGCGGCAGCCAATTGCGCACAGCAATGTCCCACAAACAGTCGTAGATTGAAAATGACCAATTTTTATTATTGTTTTTGGTTTTATTGGAGGGATTATTATTAGGCTCTGTGTGGAGTAAGGAAACTTGCCCAAGGTTTCGCCCTCTGCCTGGAATTGAACTTAGGTCTCTCACTTGCAAAGCGAGTGCTCTAACCACTGAGCTACAGGATTCCATGAAATGGCTGGCGGGAGGGTGAGGAGAGCGAAACAAATAAATTACGTTTTAAAAAATGAAGTGGTTTTACAGGAATTGTTTCAAACAAATCTGTTGTGCTTACACACCAACCGCAGACACTCTCTAAGCGCTCTGAAACGCCGTCCGGAGTGGAAGGAGCTATATAAATCTAAGTTGTTGTTGTTGTAGTAGTAGTGACGTTTCTCTGAAATAAAGTTTCCTCAACATTAAGAAACCCTCAGATAAAATCAGTCACTCACCCCATGGCTGTGTGTGAGATGTTGCTTTCATCAAATTGTCTGACACATTCACCTACAAAATCCAACATTGCTGGACTTCACCACTACCTCACCCCTCAGGCTACCGCAACCCTCATACATGTCTTTATTACAACCAGAATCGACTATGCCAACGCCCTGCTTGTCGGCCTTCCCAACTTCCCTCCACAAGGTACAGATCATCCAGAACTCACTCTGCAGCTTGGGTCCTCTCCCATACCAGGCTCCATTACCCCTTCACACCCACCCTCACCCGGCTCCCCGGCTCCCCATCCCTCAGAGGATCGAGCTTAAAATTCTTGTCCTCACCTTCAATGCCCTCCACGGCCTTGCCCCCTGCTACCTCTCCAACCCTTATCAACCTGTCCGCTCGCTCTGCTCAGCAGGCTCCATGTCCTCAGCCCGGCCAGCCCACTATCGGCTGTCAGGCCTTCAGCCTCTCTGCCCTCACCCTCTGGAACTCTATCCCACATTTCCTTTGCCTCGCTCCCTCCCTTGCCTCCTTCAAGAAACGTCACAAGACCCTCCTCTTCAACCGTGTCTTCTGCCACCCTCCTGCCCTCTCTGCCCTACACCCTCCCTGAATTCAACCCCCACACCCCCCGCTCGGATCCTAATCCCTGACAGTTCAGCGCCTTGGGACGTCCTCCCGATGTGAAAGGCGCTTTACAAATGTCATTTTGTGTTGTATTGTATCCTATGAAGTGCTTTGAGACATCAGCTCTACATGAAAGATGCTGTATCAAATGAAAGAATAATTATTATTATATGCACACTACCATCGTCCCATCACAACATTAAATGAGTTCACTGACCTTGCCTCACCCTCCCTTCCTGTTCCAGTTGTTAAATACTCTCTGGGTAAATAAATACTTCCAATGTCTGTCCTGAAAACCTGTGGCAGAAGAAACATTTATTTTGGAGGAGTGCCACAGGAACTTTAAAATCTGGAACAAAACAAACAAATTGCATTTATATAGCATAGATATATCTAAGGGGAAGCTAGATAGGTACATGAGGGTGAAAAGAATAGAAGGTTATGCTTGAAGGCTTAGTTGAGGAAGAGTAGGAGGAGGCTCATGTGGAGCATAAATACCGGCATAGTTGGGCTGAATGGCCTGTTTCTGTGCTGTATATTCTAATGGATTCAGATGTACAGCACCTCTCACATCGTACCAAGGCATTGAAACAGTGTCTCATTTGAAAGGACAGCCCCCTCCAACATTGCAGCACACTCCCATCACGTCATGAGAGTGTCAGCCTTGATTAGATGAGTTCAAAGTCCCAACATGAGGCGTGATGTCCCACCACCTTGTGACTCAGGTGAGAGTGCTACCAATTGAGCCAGGCTGACACCTGGAGGAATGCAATCAATGGGCCCAATGGCCTCCTTGATCCAAACCAATCTTGTGATCTTGTAAACACAATGTTGATCTTGTAACATAGTACCTTCAGCCAGGGTGAGTACCTGATCGGAGTGGCCCCATGTCAATGCTAACGTTCAAACCAGGGCAACACAAAA